TTACCATCACCTGAGGAGACACATTTGTAGCGTCAAAACATGATTGCTCTTGTGTAGCAATTTTTAACATGTTTTTGTTTTAATCTCCTATAATAAATAATATTTAGTTCTACTCTGTATTGAGCCCTCTTTTGAATTAAATGTTACATACAGTGGAATTATACTCCATTTGTTCTCATCCTACCTGGATATATATATATATATATATATATATATTACATGAATCATTCATACAAAATGTAGATTAGTAAAGTTAATGTTATAAATGGTGAAAAACATCTTCACAAACAATTTTAAAGTTGCATTAACCTACGAATCACTCAATGAATGTTATGATCCTTGTTTTTAATAACTTCAAGTTGTATAAGGTCTTTTTTTTGCTAGTACTTTCGGCTGTACATACAGCCATCCTCAGGCATGGGAATTATTTTGTTTTTAGTAGATCCAGGTAATAGCAGACATGAAAAATTAAATGCAAATCAAATTATGTTTTTTTACAAATGTGTTATTGTTAATGGATAAGAACTTATGAAGATAATATATATTTTTATATATCAGAAACAATACTAAGAAAAATATATGAGAAAGTGGAAAAAGTTTTCTTGTGACATGTCTCATCCTTTAGGACATCAATGGACTAAATTTGTTATGTCAATGCAACTACACATTTGCACAAATCAGGAATGCTGGGAATTTTAAATTTAAAATCTCATAGAGTGCTGGTGTTAATAAAAGGGTGCTCAATGTAATATAACAGGGCTATTAAGTATATATTAATAAATATACATATTATTCCTCACCTGTAGCATGACTCAGAGTTTCATGCACAACTCAGTATTCAGGTGCTGGGTAGAGACTGACCATTGTGTAATTTAAATTTTAATAAAAATACCTGGTTAATGCAATGCTGGTGAAGTCCATATATTATACAGATATTACAGTTTTTTTACTTTAAAAATATATTTGCATTTAAAATAAATGGGTTTTTATTTTTTGTATATATATATATGTGTGTGTGTGTGTGTGTGTGTGTGTGTGTGTGTGTGTGTGTGTGTGTGTGAAATAAATAGGGAGAAATATTTTATTTTATAGTTAAATAAACAGAGATAAATGGTATTAAAAGAAATTAAAAATTATATTAAAATAGATGGAAAAAAATTAATTTTTATTTAAAGTTGGGAATATTATTTTATAGTAAACATAAAGGGAGATTACAGTTTTTTTTAATTTTCTTTAATATTTTCATAAAATTTTTGTTAAAAAAATGAATGATTAAACAGACCTAGAGATTTAAAAAAAACATTAAAAATTATTTGAAAAACATAAACAAGATGGAAAAAGGAAAGTGTGTGTGTGTGTATATATATATATATATATATATATATATATATATATATATATATGCACACACAGAGAGAGATAGTAATAATAGTGAGAAGGCTCTTTCCTTCAAATTTATGCTGATTTTAATTTTACAGCCAATATAATTCAGGTCCCAAAATCAAACTTTTGTGGAAATTACATCTGCTGCTTTAAAGAGCATCAGGAATATGTATACATATGCATCCCATTGCTCCCCTCACCTATCACCTCCTGCATCATCCCCACTGCAGTTGCATTCAAGCAGGAAAATGCTTCAAGTTGATTATAAAATGTTACTCAAGAGTTTGGCAGCACATCCTTCATTTCATCCAAAAATTAACACAAACTGTCTGCAAATTATTCTACAGTTAATTCATGCATAGCAACATAACCGGACAATAAATTTCCTCATGCACACATGCTGAGGGGTCGGGGATGGTCAAAACAATGTTGCACTTTAACATATATTTTATTCAATAGGGGATTACTCAATTTCTTGCAGTGGAGAGAGATGAAAATATCAGTGTTGATGATCAGTTCCAAATGGATTAACAATGAATGTAGTGTTAAGGCAACTGTTAAAATTCTGATTAGTAATTTCTCTTACATATAACTTATAATCTTTACAAAGCCTAAGAGCCACTCAAGAGATACAGTTTATAGAGAAATGTGGGGAAGATAACAGTTTAACTTTGACTTGAATAGGCTAAGATTGTAGTCACTAAGGAAGCATTCTCCTGGTTGTTGTTTCCATAAAGTACTGAAATAATAATAATAATAATAATAATTCTTCTTCTTCTTCTTCTTCTTCTATGTAGCATGTACTTTCAGGATGTTAACAATCATGGCCCTTCACAACTTCCTCTCCTTTGTGGGTTTTAATACATTTTCTCTTTTTGTTATATGTCTTAAATCTTATTCTGCCATCCATTAACTCAAGGTCATAACCTCTAGATAGGTTATGCAATGTTTTCCACTGTCCCTAAAATAATTACATAACTACAAGCAAACATATGGATCATAACATAAACCAGTGGTATTTATCATATTTTCCATACCATAAGCCACAGATAAAACCAGTTATGCCCCTTGACATTTTTCTTTTATTCCAGGTTTAAGTGTCAGCATGTGGGAATCTAATAAACATTTACAAACTTTTTGAAAAGCTAAAAGTGAAACCGGTTCAAATAAAATGATTTTTCTGAAAACCCACAAGTAAAACAATTTTAATTTTAATAATAATCTGTAAACATTCATGTATTGTAAATATAATTCATAAATATATAAAAACATTAGGTGTTTTTCCAAATCTTATTATTATCTTTTTTCTCTCTCCCTAAGTATTCACCAACATTGAAAAAGATTTTTAACAAAAATAATAATTAAAATCAGTTAAAGCTATGTTAGTAACATTGATAGATCTATATCCCAGCATAATAACTATAAATATTTTTTTAAATAAACATTTTTCCAACAAAAAAAAAAAAATGTAATTTTTTCTAAAAGTAAATGCAACTACTGGAAGAATACAATCTATCAATTAAACAGTCAATATATGACAGATAATATTGCATATCAAACTAGCATATGTTCTGATAGTGATGTTGGATTTTATTTCAGTTCTACCATCACCAAATGACTTTGACTAATGCACTGCTCTAATTATTTCTTGCAATTGAAAAATACCGGAAATTCCCTTACAATTAACTGGAATATTATAGCAAGGGCAAAATCATATAACGATAAAGGGAATAATTGTAACCTGTTTGGCTGAGAAAATGATTATCTTAAAACACTTAAATAATCCAAGATTATTAAACAAGAGAAATGAGCTGATAGTTACGTGTAGGCATAAAAATAAATATCTACTTAAATAAGTAGATCCAGATTAATTTTCAATTTTTAATACTATCACAGTTTAGTTTTTAGTGTATACTATGGTTTATTATATATTATAATTTATTGTTAATAATTACTGTTTAATTTTTAATATTACTATTTTTTAAATATGATTAAGTAAGGTCCCTTTAATTAAGTAACTGATGATCCACTACTCTAAAATAAAATAAAAATATAATTATAAATAGATACAAATCGTTTACATTCAGATGCTAATCCTGGTTATTTTAATTGAGGAATATAATCTTCAAAAGTGAAAGAACAGATGGAATAAAATTTACTTTTAAAAAGTGTTCAATACAAAGTAGAGCAATATATTATTATTATTATTATAAGAGATGATGATAAAAACATGTTAAAATTGCTACATAAAAGTTTTCATGTTTCAATACTTTGATTGTACTTCTTCAGGTGATAGTAAGTAACTTACCATCGCCTGAAGAAGAACATCAAAGTATTGAAACATGAAAGCTTTTGTATAGCAATTTGAATATGTTTTATTATAATCTCTAATAATAAAATTATATATATATATATATATATATATATATATATATATATATATATTATTTTTTTTAAGCATTTCACCCCAAGCAAGGCGGGAAGCCACTAGGATGCAAGGGGTTACAGAAAATTTAGAGCAAGATCAGATAGGAGTGATAGAAGAAAGGATGAGGGTAGTGGATAGATCAAGGCAACTGGAGATGTTGATTGACATTACACTTGAATAGCTGGAGATTATAGCTCACAGGGAAACAGGAATAGGGAAGGGAGTTCCACAGGCGAGAGGTGCGAGACATGAAGCTATATATATATATATATATATATTATATATCAGGAAGAATAAATTTATACAAAGAATTAAATAGCAATGTTAATGTGATTAATGGCAGCGAAATCACTTCGATAAGTATTTTCCTTCTTATTCACTTCCAGTAGCCTCTAACCTTGCTTGGGGTGAATCGCTTAAAAAAAAAGGAAAGATAAGGCATACAGACATGTGGTTCTATGAAAGGATACTGAGAATAACATGGACAAAGCATGTAAGTAATACGGGAGTCTTAAGGAAAATGGAAACGAAAAGGATACTGATGCAGAGAATCAGAAAGACATGATGAGGAAGGAGTGCTTGTAGAACTTGAGACTTACATGAAATATCAAAGACATTGGAGAAATCAAAGGTTACGAATGTTACAAACAAAATATATATAAATAAATCTAGAATATTATAAAGTAAAAGTATTATACTTAAAACATTGACAAGGATATACATTGAGTAGCATTATCAACACACCAATGAAACATTATAATGAATTATATATATATATATATATATATATATATATATATATATATATATGGTGGATTTTCCCATCATATTTGACATATAAGTGTCAAGCAGCTCAGTTCCTGAGAACTGACAGCTAGACACCAGCACATATGATTTGATTATAGTGGTGAAGGCTTTGTGCAGAACCATACCGATTTTTGATTGGCTTTATCAATTATTGATTTTAAAAAATTACCAATATTTTACACCAAGAACCTATCTCTTACACTGTACAATGTATGTGCCAAATTTGGTCAAAATTGATTGGATGGATCTCGAGTGAAAAGGTATCAGACAGATAGACAGACATCCTTTGTTTTATATATATATATAGATTGTATAGAGCTATGGGTTAAAATGAAAGTAAAATAAAATGAGATCAGTAATGGAGACACATCTCAAGACTTACCTCACTTTCAAGCTTCATCAGAGAGGGACTGGATCCACAAAGAAGACATACTTGGACATTGGTTACCAATTCAAAAACGAGCAATCGATATGGAACCTGCAAAAGAAGCAAAAATGTAATTGGTTTCATTTTTTCAAGAGATTCAAATTAAAAAATTCTTTGCTCCAGGTTGTTTATTCAGATGAAGATACAACAAAGATGAAGATAATAGTATCTTCATCTTTGTCTATTTCTGGCTCTGTTTTCGTTTATGCAGTTCCTAGTATTTTCGAGGTTTTGAGAAGAGTTTTCATCCTCATTTCATCTATTGTCAAAAGAGTATGCTTATTTTTTTTTCAATTAAAACAATTTGTATCTGTCTATATTTCTGAGATGAGGTATTATGTACACTATTTACATTATTCAGACTATTGTCCTCATCTTTGTCACCATATTTATTACAATGTTTTGGCCATTGTACACTCCGGCGTTCTTCAGGTGGTTGGATCCAGTGACAGGACCCAAAGAGTGTGAGTTCAATACCCGGTTAAGGCAGTGGAGAACTGGGAGAGGGGAATTAACAGGAGATAACTGATAACTGACATCCATCAAACATGGCACATGGAACTAGAACAGTCTACCCCAGTGAGCAAAATAAAGAGTTCAGTTTGACATTCCAATGGCCGAAACGTTGTAATAAATATGGTGACAAAGATGAGGACAATAGTCCGAATAATGTAAATAGTAAAACAATTTGGCTCATGTATTATCAGATTTTCTAGTACTGCCTGAAATTCAAAAATTAGGTATTTTCAACATTTCATGAATTAATCTCCTTCTTCTTCTTTTATGTACTGTGTCCCTTTAAGACATGTGATCATGGCTCTCCACAACTTCCTATCACTTGTAGCCCTTAACAGTGTTTCTTCCTTTGTCAAGCCTCCCACCCTATGTCCCACAATTCATTCACAGGAGCTTGTCAGGTAGGTGGCTCAATACCTTCCTCTATCTCCCTTGCCGTTGACATGCCCTGTGAGGGTTAATTTTTCTAAGTCCTCCTTCCTCATTATGTACCCAAGGTATTTCAGCTATTTCTTTCTGATTCCATGTTCTTTTTCTTAACATTTTCTTTAAGACTTCTTTGCTGCTTACTTGCTTCATCAGTGGAATTCTCAGTATCCTTCTGTAGAACCACATTGTGAAGTGAAAACAAACTGTCTCAGCTGGAATTTGAATTCAAATTGCCAGTTCCATTTTCCTGTTTTCCTACTGATATTGTTCATTTTCCAAATAGCAAGCAGTTATCAATGACCTAAGCACAGTTTCAACCTTGACATTTGTAAATAAAAACAAAGTACTGATAACTCCTTAAGAAGTCAGGGATTGATTTGACATTGTATTTATATTATGAACACCTCTCCAAAAGTGATAAAAAATTATAATATGGTTTTGATATAAGCTATGGCTTAAGGAAGGTCTAATGAATTCTCATTTACAAAAATTATTTTTTTAAATTTGTTTTTTTGTTTGTTTTTTATTATAAACGGACCAGTTAATTTAAATAGTGCCAAGAATTTTTTTTTTTTTGCCAAGAGATCCAAACATTTAGCCCCCCCACCACTGAGTTATGTCAGAATGACCCTGAAATTTCTTTGCATGCAAACTGATCATTTAGTTGATCATAGAACAAATTCCGTGTCCAGAATAAAAACATGGGTTCTGCAGGCAAGCAATGGAAATATCCAGAAATCCTATTTCTCACTAATATCAATGCTGATAGGCAAGTCAATATCTGAATCCAAGCACCACTACTCCAATGATTCATTAGTTATTAACTACAGAGATTAATTAGTATTAATTTCTTCATCCTTGAGTGAAGACGCAATGGATTTTAACAATCTCTTTAGAAAACAAGAAAAGAATCAAGGTCATATCCATGCAACTTCTTTATGATTCTAGTAAAACTGAGTTTCCTGAAAAATCCTGTGTTTCTTAACTAACATATATAACAATGAGTCAAAATACAGATAATAAATCCTCAGGTTAAACAAAATCCGCCATCATTATGATTATGAATATAACTACACAAGAAGGTGAACAGAAGGAAAGGTTATATTTTTTTGATAAAATGGGTAATATTTTAATTAATTTATATATCTTAATAAAACAATTTATAATTAATGAAACGGTAGGAAAAATCAGCAATCTTGAATCTTTGAGCTCACAAAAAAATAGAGTGTCAAGAGAATGATTTTTCCATTGACACTGCTATTATTTTAACTGCCTTCACTCCAGGGACGTGCTGTCTAGGAAGATAGGGTAGGCAGCATCTACCCTGAATAAAATAAATCAGCAGCTACATTTTCCTACTATGGCGCAATATGCATCTAATCCAACAAAATTACTCTGATTATTGAGCATAAATTTCAAAATATTTTATTTTTTTGTAGATTTACTCGATAAAGCTCACAAGTGGCCTACCCTGAATAATTACTGATTGTATGTGCCTGCTTCACTCCTTGGCAATGCTTTTTGTTTTAAAAAGCAACAATTAGAATTGTAATAAAACCTAAACTTATGAAAGTGAATTTATACATTTTCTTTATTCTTGAGAATTAATAACAAAAATAATAAACACTATTTATTTATTAGATTGTTTATTGGAATGGTTAGCAAAACATTGAATAATTGCCAACTAATTCAATCTATAATGGTATATAATAAGGATTTCCTTATATAGAAGGTCTTTGGGTTATATTGGACCTGACATACAGTGTTTCATGGTTATGGCACCATCTTCCATAATATAGTAAATTGTCATACAGGAAGCTGGCATTGTTTCTTCACTGGCTGGACACCATATTGGATTGTGTTATATTCACTATCTCTCATTTATGTCATTTTGGGGGGGAACTTTTTGCCCTTTATTATAGTTCCTAAACATAAGGCAGACCTTTGGGTGTTTATGTAGGTGAGTTCCGACCTGCTGTATATATCTGCATATAGGTCACACCCCCTACTTTATGGCATAATAATGAATGATCTACTGTTGACTTGCAGATAGGTCGCACCATAATCTGGGGATTTACACGTCCTTTTTCAAATGTAAGAATTATCAGATATCTACCTTTATTTCTACCTTTGTTTCAAAACTTATGATTATTACTATACTTCTGCAGTTAAAATACATTTCGTCAATCACCATGTAAACAAAAAGAAGCAATTGTTGTACTGGTATTTTTGTATCAAATCAACTCGATGAAAAAAAAAAAAAAAAAAAGAAATAACTACACAAGAAAATATTATGGTACATTTAGAAAAAAAGTGTTTATCTATTTATATATCAAGTTACAGTTTTAAAATTCATTCAGAACTGAATCCACAGCTTTAGTGTTTCTGGGTATCATTTCTGATTTCTCAGAATTCATGATGACAAGGTAGTGATGTTTTACATTTATGTCAAGCGGATAGGTCACCTCCCCAAAATATTTTGTAAATATTTTTAGTAAAAGTGCAACCTATCTGTGAGTATATATGATACATTGAAAATCAGGTTATGACACACCATAGGAATGGATCTCTGATGGAAGTCATGGATCCCCATAGTTGGTTCACATATTTTAATCTTTTAGTAAATGTTTATTAATTTATGAATAAAAAAATTGTTTTCATTTTTATTTTATTATGAAATTGGTAGATGATAAATATTATATTGCATTATTTTTTTCATACAGTTATACTAATTTTTTGAATGCTGTAAATATAAAATTATTCTTGAAAAGAAACAATCTAATAAATAAATAATGATTTATATTTTTGCCATAAAATTATTAAAAAAAAGTGTATAAATTCACTTTCATCGTATGTTTAAGTTTTATTACAATTCTAATCATCACTGTTTAAATGAATAAACATTGCTAAGGAGTGAAGGTTAAAATATAATAGCAGTCTCAATAGAAAAAAATGTCATTTTGAGATCCTGTTTTTTTTTTGTGGGCATGAAGATCCAAGTTTGCTGATAAATTTGAAAACAAATGAATCTATAAATAAAAACTGAGTAGAAATTAGGAAAATGTAATTTGAAAAATGATACAGTTAAAGCAAAGGAAAAAATACAACTAAACATGAATCATGTTCTGTCTTACTAATGTAGATTTGGTTGAAATAAAATTCATTTTTCTGATAATGTTGTTCAATTATCAAAACATGTCAAAACAAGAGTGTTCTAAATTGTTTTATATATTCAGAAATATAAATTCCTTCTAATGTGAGAATACAAAAAATGTCTTTTTGTTTTCTTTTTTTTATTTACAGTAAAGTTCATCCTTTAGAAGGCCCGAGGGCTACTCAAGGTAGGTTAGGTTAGGAGGTAATTTGAGTGGATAGGCGTGAATGATAATGGTTAACCCTAGCGTTGAACAGGCTAAAATTGTAGTGATTGGGGAAACATCCTCTTGGGAGTTGATTCCACAGAGCAGTGGTTTGCAGGAAGAAATGTTCGAGTGGAACTTACTTCTCACTGGTAAAATACAGAGGGAATATGGCTGGTTTGCTAAAATGATAGTGATATTGTGGGTCCTTGACATGAAGGTTTGAATTAGCAGGACCAGAGAATGTAGTTTGTCTGAGCTCTTTCTATGGAAGTAGCAATAGAAAAGCAAGAGGTTTGTCACATCCTGCCTGTAGGAGAAAGGTTGGAGGGTGGAGAATAATTTGTCACCCACAAGAGTTCAGAGATGCTTTTGGACTCTATCAAGGCTGGAGGGTGAGGTCTGAGTAGCTACCACACAAATATGACAACAGGACTCTATTTTTGTCTATATGCCTTTATCATTAACTATTGATATCATGATCTGAAATGCTTAATAGAAGCTGAACATGTTTATTTTTAGGATAAATTTTTTAAACCTCTCTTCTTCTTGAACTTATTAAAGGAGACCTATTCATTAATTTTGCACTTTTCCACAGAGATCAAACATGAAACATTAATTATTGTAGCTGGTTTAAGTTTTTACTTGTACACTTTTATTAATAGGATTATTTCAATAAGTCATATAGACAACTTATTTTATTTTTTAGGTTTGAAACCAACTTTGTCTTCTTACATTATGGTAACATCAAGGTGCACAAATGTATTTTTGATTTTTATTTGCATTATATGAGTCAATATTTCAAAAACCTCTTAGTCAAGCAAGAACTTTTCAGCACCCACTAATAAATATCAAAACATTTTACAATGCAATTCAAGCAAACTGATTCTCAATTCATAGGATGAGATCAATTTCCAAGGGAAGTTTCTTAAAATGTGCTTTATGTTAAAAATATATAGCGTGGGATTACACCACCTCGTTTGCTAAGGAACTTCTAATGCCCACTAGGTGACATTGTAAAAACTGTATAAAAAAGAAAGGCACTTCCTCTCTTCTATTACTCTTTATTCACAAGATGCTGTTGGGACAAGACATGTCTCTTTTCCCCTCTGCAAGACTTCTTAGTCCCAAGCAAAGTACATGTTACATACAACATAGTTCTGTCATATACTATCTCCTGTTTAAAAAAAAAAAACTCATACAATTGTAATAATATCTCAACTACAACCTATCATGTAAAAATTATATTTCTTCAGTAATTAATAATACTACAAAATGGCAACCACACAAAAAGCATACTTTTACAATTTCAAGTCATTTTACATATTCTAATGGTACCAAGTAACTCAGTATTACCTGCTGCATAGTTGGTTCATTGACAACTAAAACAGTTCCCTCACCAGCCCTAATGAGGAGGGTTGCTAGAGACCCAGCAAGTAAACTGTAAAACTTTCTTGTAGGGAACAACACTTATTGAGCACAATGGTTTAGACAGGGCTCCATAGCTTTATATGCACCGAGTGCAATGTTGATAAAACATCACTGGGTCAACAGGTAGGGTGAAGAGTTCCCCTGATGGCTCAATGGTCGCATGTTTGTGACCCAGGCAAGCATTCAAGTTGTAGAACAACAGCTGTGGTTTGACCTGGAAAGGAATGAACTCCACCAGGTCTACTTGCCCAAGACGAGCTACACATGAATGAATACCTCTCTGGCTATTCAACCCAGAGACGTGGAGGAAACTAGTCAGGTGCTGAGTTGTATGGTGACCCTACAACCACACCTGGTTATGGGATTGATAACGATGATGATATATTTACAAATTTTTCATCAATTGCAGTTTTATGACTCATAGTTTTAAAAAAACATTTGAATATTTTTTACTGTCTGAAATTTTTTTTTTTTTTTTTTCAGAAACTATATCAAGTAATTATTTATTTATTTACCCCTAATTCCCAAGAGAAAATGCAACTCAAGCTTGCAATGTGTGGGTAAAGACCAAAATTACCCAATCCTTGAGACTGATTCCACAAAAAAGCAACTAGTGATCTGTTCTCATTTTGTACAATGAGGAATTACTCTCCCAGGTTTGGAACTCCCAACACTAGTCTCATTTCATTTGTCTAGCTCAAAGATGGAACATGAAGGTTCCCTTAATATCTACTTTTCTTTGTTTTAATGACTAGGACTGGTATTTTCACTCACTGATTAATGTGAATCTAAGTAAATAAATAAATAACGGCAATTGATTTATTACCTAAAAATTAGGCCGAAAAATATGAGAAACTTGGATGATCTGTTGTAAAGAAATGAGCAAGCAAACAAAGGAGGCTACAGAAAGAAAAAAAACACAAAGACATGTTTCAAAAACTTTTTAAAAGGTTGTTGGAATAGGGTTCAGATAAATGGATGAAGGATAGAAAGATAATAAGCAGAAAAAGTTAAAAGAAAATTAAAAGAAAAAAAGACACACAAATGAAAGGAGAAAAAGAAAGAAATGGAGCAAAGAAAAAATGGGCTTAAAAAAAGAAAGGATTTTGAAGATGAATGAAAATTAAGAAAAAATAAAATTAAAAATAAGAGAAACTAAATACAAAATAGACAAGGAAAACAAAAAAAGAAAGGAAAGACAAAAAAAAGAGAAACTATAAGAAAGGGAGAAAAAAAATTGCTTGGATAAGGGAAATGAAGAAAATTTATTAAAAAAAAAAACAACTAATTAAAAAACAAAAAATCTCAGTGTAATCATAAAAATAAATAAATAATTAAAGACACCCCCCCTCTGCTACCACAAAAAAAAATTCAAGATAAAGAAACTGAATGAAAACAAGGGGTTACTAAATATGAAAGATTATGAGAAAAAGAAAAACATTACTACAGAGTGAAAGCAACAACAACAAAAAAAAAAAAAAACAGATTTCAGAAGACTGAAGATAATAACTGACATTGCATTTAAATTTTTGATGATCAAATGTGAGTGGAAAGCAAGAAGCTGGAAGAGAGTTCCACAAACAAGAAGTGCAAGAAAAGAAACTGTTAGCATAGAACTTCTATATAGCATAATCCAACAAACAGCAAAAGGGGAATATATATATATATATATATATATATATATATACTTCCAAGATGAGACAATCCAGGTACAGCTCTATGTCCAGGACAGAACAAGAATATAATATAAAAGGCTCAAACACTAGTATTTCATGGTTATAATTTATTACATTGGAATCGTAATCATGATCCAATTCATCAGACCTACAAATTCAAAACCTGTGATTATGATTCCAATGTAATAAATTATAACCATGAAATATTAGTGTTTGAAGCTTTTATATATATATATATATATATATATATATATATATATGTGTGTGTGTGTGTGTGTGTGGAAATAAGGGAAAAAACCATTGTGGATATGGATTTAATAAAGTGATATCCATTTTAACATCTCTCTTGGAATTAACCCTCCTCTTGTATACTTTTTCTTTCTTTCTTCCAGAACACCTCATTTTAGAATAAATAAATAAATAATGATGTTTTTGGTGAGGGGAAAAGAGTGCTTTTTGGATGTCACTAAATTCCTATTTTTAAAAGGTCTCTTGTGTAAAATACAAAATCCATCAAATTTTACACATCTTGTTTTCTTTTTTTTTACCCTCTTATTTTTTTTTTTTCTAATTTTTAAAAATGCATTTTTTTCTTCATGTTGTACGTGTGCCCAGAACCTCATGCTGCTTCCTTGATATTTTGGCACATTAAAGACACTTTAGATAAAAATCAGATAAGTTTAGAATGCTATTTAAATAAAAATGATATCAACACAGAAAATGATTCTAAAAATAGCATTCAAAATGCAAAATATTTGAAATAAATTCTTTTGTATATTAATAATAATAATAATAATAATAATAATAATAATAATAATAATAGAAACAATAATTATTATTATTACATAATGATATTATTTTATTATTATTATAATATATTTATATATTATATTATTGCATAAAATAATAATATTATTATTATTATTACAACTAATACTACTAATGACAACTTTTTGAAACAGTGTCTTATGTACCATGTCCCTCCAGAACATGAGCTATCATGACTCTCCACAGTTGGTTCTCTGTGTCATGCCAGAAAGTTTTTCTCATCTGAGTCCATCCTTTAAATCTATAAATCAATCATCTGTCCTTACATGGTATATTGCTGTCATATATAGTCTGGTATTCCCGCTGTACATCTCGAGGTCCTCGACAAAATCCAGAGACAAATATGCAAGATGATAGGTCCTGATCTGGCATCTAGTCTACAATCGCTATCCCACAGATGTGCTGTGGCCTCCCTCTGTCTCTTCTACAAGTATTTTCATGGCAATTGTTCTGATGAGCTACTTTCGCTGGTTCCCGGACTACATGAATTTAAACGAGCTACCGGGCTGGCATCTTGGTCCCACCCTTTCACTATCAAAACAGTTAAATGCAATTATCTCTTCTACTCAAACAGCTTCTTCTCCTGCACTTCCCATCTGTGGAACTCCATTCCCTTTACTCAATGACTATAATCTTCAAATATTCAAGTGTAATGTCAATTGACATCTGACACCCTGAGCTTGTTCCCCGTCCTTCTCTGTATCCTTTCCTTAAACACTCATCTTTACTCTTGTTCTCATTCCTCTACAACCCCTTGCATTCTAGTGGCACGACTGTCTTGCTTGGGGTGAACTGCCTTTAAAAAAAAAATCTTTCTATCCTTTGTAGCTTTATGCAGTTTCTGTCTCCTCACTATTCCTCCCACTTCTTATTTATCTATCCATTTACACAAGCTTATTAGGTAGATTACTTACTGTTATTCTATGTCCCCCTTGCCTTCACTAGGTCCTGTGAGTGTCAAATTCACCAAGCCCTCTTTCCTCTTTATATATCGCAGAAATTTGATACAGCTACACATTTGATAACATTGCACAGAAATGCAATTAAAGTCACAATCCTTCTATTTTTATGTTTAACTGTCACAGTGAACAGCATTTTTTTCCTAAATATATCAAGACAGATGAAAAAAAACTGATGTGGTTTCAGTGGCATACCTAAAGTGTGTGCCACTTGGGGCAGTCCATAAATTTGCCACTCCTTCCCCTACCCATGAAAATACAACGCATGTTGCAGTGACTCTCTCTTATATATATTAACAGGCCCAAAAATGAAAAATAGAGCAATACATCTCTCAAATGAACTTCTGTCAAGGAAAATAACTGAAATTTATATGATAACAACCAAGATGCATCTCCCACACACAGCAGTACTGCAGAATTAAAAGAACACACATGGGGTCCATTCACAGGTTTCCCTATGTCAACAATGAAAAACCAGCCCCAAATACATCATTGGATAATATTTATTGTTTGATCAAGATAACAAACATTTGAATACATATGCCATATTTTAAATTACTCAAAACTGAAAAGGTCTTTCAACAGTATCAACATAAAAAAACAGTATTATCAACAACAACAACAGTAGTATCAACAATAGTATCAACATTAAAACCACTTTTATTTCAATATATCCCATACAGGCTTATACCAACAAAAAGTACCACCCCCATAAAAATGTTACCAAGGTAGACTGCCTGCTTGCAGCCCCAATGCTACTGTGTGGTCTTTGATATTTGGTATTTTCTTTTTGTTTGCAATTGTGTCATGCCAATCTATAAAATCTGAAGAAGGATTGTCCTCATTCACTTGAAGCCTTTTTTAATCGTTGATTGGAAAGAAAAGAATTTCTACTCCTTCCCTAAGCAGTAGGTTAAATAGAAGAGTAGAGTGGGCTTTCTAGCCTTGAGTGGCTGCCAATCTAGGAGAAGATCTACTGTAAATTTTTTAAAATATTAAAAATCTGTGAACAATTTTTTCCCAAGAAGTCATCGTAATTCATGGATAATAAAGAAAAGAAACCCGTGAAAGAAAATTTTTAAAATTCCTAATTTATTTATAATTTACTAATTTGCATATGATTAAAAAATAATATGTGTGTAAAAAAAATAAAATCTCCCCCCTATGTACATCATAGACAAAAGTTAGCATGATCTGTGAGGGAGCAACTTTAATGACAATCATTTTTCCATCATAATATTCTATCCAAGGGAAAAGATAACAGTTCACATGGGTTGCGTGTAGTATGCTAAAAAAATCATTTCAATTTTTAAAGCAAACAATTTTTGATTATTTGATTAAATTTAATTTTTATACAAACAATTTAAATTTCATTCATACAAGTGAACAATATGTCTTGGCAAGGTCTCATCATTTTACAGTTGAAATGGCAAGATGCAACCATAAATTTTATGCAAGCAGTTTCTTTTCTCACAGTTTTCTTATGAAACACTCTCACGGCTTCTTGATTTCCAGTCAACTTTGATATTCAAAAATTTAGATGCAATGTTAGTCGTTATATTCTGTCTTCTTAATTCCCATTCTTTTATTGTTCTCTCCCTCCTGAATAATGTTTTTCTTTGTCACATATTATTTCACACTCAGTAATCCCTTGTTTCTTAGTGGCTTTATTGCCTTACTTTGGATGAAATTTTACGGAGTCTATTTCTGACTTATATTGTATTTCTGTATGTCATCATTAAATTTGCAGCTGTATCAAATAAAACCCATCAATTCATACATTTGAAATTTGTATTGTCCAGTGTTAAAGGAAAAAGAAATGCTCTCTTAGAGAAATATACTGACAAAATGAATGAAATACACAGAAGTAATGAACTTCTAAGACAATAAATTGACATGACATGATGAATGGATAATTTTGCCTTTGGAAAAAATAAATAAATCTCAAAATAATATTTTAGATATGTAAATAAGACATCAATCTTAAATGACATTAATGCCAAACAAAAGAAAAATGGTCTTGTTACAAAAGAGAAGTTTTAAAAAGAAATTTTTCTTTTAAATTCAATTTTCTTGATTTTATTTTGTTAATTTTTTTCATATCACTTTTTTCCACTAATATATATCACTAAAACTATTGGCTTTTCCATTACCACCTCATTGATTCTCTGGTAAAAAAAAAATAGTTTTCAGAGGCTGATGTGGAAGTAAAAGGAAATAAAATAAAAAAAAACAGGGAAAAATAGTTAACTTTGCATTGTGGGTAGAAAAAAATTAGTAGATAAAATAGAGTAAACTAAATTATTTCATGAATATAAATTAAATAGCACTTATTTTATTAAGATATATTAAATAAATTAAAATATTAACTATTAGGTTGGCCAGAAAGTCCTGACTTAGGAAGTCGAAAGAAAACAAGAAAATCTTCTGTCAGCGGTCAGCAAGCATCCAAATCTGTCGCAGATACTAGTTCGCTGGCTTTGAATGAAAAAACTGTAAACAAGCTTCCTTCACTACATCAAAAGTTTTAAATTGCTGGTTGTGGAGGAAGTGTGCCATTGAGAGGAAGAGGCCATAGTCATATCAAGACTGAATGGTGAATGTGGAAGAATCTCCACACTGTCCATCTGTTTCAACTTCTCCTTAGTCAACCTGACAGTGTGTGGCCTCACATTATCTTACTGTTAAAACTTTTATTTATATTTATTTAGACTGTTAAAAATGATAGCATATGTGAAACTGATATCTCATAAGTAACTGGTTTCTACATATGAGTT